AGGCAGAGACGCACTAAAATTGAGGAAGCCTTCTCGGACGTCACTGCAAAGAGAGCTCTTTGTTTCGGGGCATGTAATGGCGACCGCCGTGCCTTTCAATCTCAAACATGTACACCCTAGCACTGATGCCCACGACTGAGTTCCCACAAAAAATCCATGAAAACAAGAAGCACACGCCAGCCTGAATCAGAATCAAATTAAATCCATGCCTACAAGACCTCCAAACTTAGAAGCCCTCGTCCGCCCAGTGGCATGAGATGCGTCTTTTCCAGGCCGAGATGGTGCATCGCACCTCCAGGGGTAATGTCGCTTAGGGTTTCTTGAGCATACATATACATAGAGTCCCCCTGAAGTAGATAGAATAATGTGTATATGGGGATCTTATTATAACATACCCAAAGCCATATCCTATCTACTTAAGGGGAGTATAACATAACTGTTCAATCCATTTCGGGACACATGCGCATTCCGTGGCTCGGGGCTAAACTTCTGGGCCTAGGCTTACAAGCACCTCAAGTCGCTTTAGAACCATTATCAAATCTCATAGGCTCCAGGCCTTACGTTTTCAGGATGCAGCCGGGCGTTGAATACTAGAGACGGTTTAGGGTAATAACTAGTTCTCGGTGCTCGTGGTTTGGGGTTTAAGGTTTAGGTTTGAGATTTAGGGTGTGTGGGGCTTACAGCTTACCTGCTCGTGCTTGTTGGCAATGTTGGGATGAATCCTCGGGTTCCGCACCTCTGAGCACCCCATTGAGTACCCTTAGGGCAGGGACTGCATGCGCACCGCGAGGACCGGGGCGTGGAGCATTGAAACTAGGCGGCTTGCCCCTGATTTCGGTGAGTTGTGAAGTGGGCTTCTTAAGATAGCTGTAGGATATGTACTGTATAGCACCGAATACGAAGCTGCTAAGTCACAGCCTGCTGAGAACAAAGGGCAACTGAAGCGCCCAACCCAAGTAGGCCTTGCTGCTGCCTACTTGAGGCTATTAGCATTGAAGGCGCCCAAATGCGCCTGTAGAATCCTGTCGACCTGTATAGGTGCGTGATGACCAAATCTGCCCTTCAACTGCTCAGTCCCGGGACCCTACGTCCACAACATACATGTCCCTGCGAAGCTACAATGCCAAGGAACAGAATGCGGCGCGCATGTAAACAAAGACTGGCAAGTACCACCTTGGAGGTCCAATTACGACAGCCCACGTATGTTCCAAATAGGGATGCTTCTTGAAACCGACAAAAGCGAAGCCGAATGACAGAAGCTACCACATTGTCCTTAGGAAAGCTGAGAGAAAGTGCTACAAGGGACACTGCGACATCATGAGGCTATAAGGACTCAGGCACTGCAGGCGTGTCGGCAATCTGAAAATCTTAGACAGATCTCAACCAACTTTTCATTTCTCGCCTCTGCTGTGCTCCCACAACAATAGGCATGCTCGTGCCCCGGTGCCCCCCCGGTGGTTGCAGCTCGGGATAAAACAGAAATTCTCAAAGGAACCAAATAACACCAATCCCTACTGCCTCATTGCATGGTGGGAGCCCGACGGGAGGGGTACCATGGAGGGGCTGCCGACAGGCGTCGGCAACAAACAAACCAGGATCTGATTTTTTTCGCCCCGTCGTCCAGCCGGCCGGGCGCCATGGCAATTCGTTTTCTGTGAGCCCGGTTGACGAGGGAGGCGCCCTTCTGCGCTTACACTTCCTAATCTGCCTTTGGCAACCACCATTGTCATAATCGCCACGCACCTTGACTCTCTTACAGTGACTGCTGACTACCGTTTTAAACGCCTTTTGGATGAGGAAAGCTAAGCACAAGAAGGTTGCTCGTTCCTGGGTTTCCAGTCAAGCAAAGGGTGATGCCAGCTCTGTCCCAATCGGCTCCCGAGCAGATCTTGGGAACCTTCTTGCCAGGTGAGCCTTCGGATACCAGGAGTATATACTGTGGCTCAGGTCTGAAGGCGCGAAAGCGGAGAACCGAATCCCATAAACTTGCCTGGCACCACATGACACCACATTGACCCATCGCGAGGGTTTACGGCAATCCGCCAGACCACCCGGTGCCGTAGACGATGCAGCAATGTGGCAATTCAAAAGCTGTCTTGTTATGCTTGCCCCGACTCCAATCTTTCCATTTGGATGCTTTGTCTGAAGCAGTTCTTTTCGCACAGAGGGTGTCGATTTAAGGGGACTAGCAGACTAGCGCCAACCTCGCGCACTTCTGGATAGCATTCTCAGCTTTCTTGAAGCCATGCTTTCAAAGAAAGTGTGCGACATAATCTCGAGAAAGCTTGCCTGGGCTTTCATGTACGATAAGGTCGAGAAAAACTTGTCCAGAGTTCTCTGGGCCGACTCAGGCATCTTCTACGACAGCAGACGACCGCAGCAGGCAAGGAACATGAAGCAGGGCACTTTTGACAAAAAGTTGGTCCTTCTTCAAAGATGCATTAGAGGGGCCATGGCATGTGGTGAGGACTTCAGAGAAGGGGCTACGCAAGGTGACGAAGAAATGGCGATGTATGTGAATGGCTCTGCATGCGGGCTGCAGTTTTAGGTTCGTTGGCTTTCTGCAGAGAAGCAACAACGAAAGCTACAACAGCAAGGGGAGCTTTGCACACTCTTTGCTGGGGAACATGTTGAAGACGACTCTGAATGCCGTCCCGGCCGCATGGTCCAGTTGAAGCCCAACAGGAGCCAGAGAATCAGGAACCTGCGCAATCCCAAGGCCCTTCTCACACTAACCCTTGGCAAGCAACAGGGGTTTGGGAACTCTGTGAAAAAAAAATGTACATTTTTCAAGCCCTGAACCTGCGGCTGAGACTTCAGACCCTTGCAGGCGCTCTTAAAACACAACTTGTGGCTCCTTGGGAAAATCTCGAACCCATGCTCACTGGTGGTCAGTAGGGAATACCGGATTTCATCCGTTTATTAGACCGTGTGAAATCCCCAATATTGTGGTCTTTTGTATTTCCTTTCTTCTCCCTTCTTTGATCGCTACTAACTACCAGCAGCTCCCAAAACCATATTTGTCTCTACAAACCCGTAGGTGCCGTTTCATTTTCTATTGTCGTACCATATGATTCTCCGTATTGCTGTTGTTATTCACCGTAGCACAACAACAGCTGAAGAAGCCACCACCTCAAACCGAGCCCCAGAAAGGCTAACCTTGTAGCTATAGTAGGTTTTATATATATATATACATACCCGAAAAGGTCGCGGGTTGTTCACTTGGCTACGACGTCCCAAGATGCAGTTGTAGAACCCGCGAAGCCAACTTCTCAACATCTTCACTTTGAGGGCTCTCTTAGAATTACCTGAGGTTTCCTGAGACAGGCGCCCGAGGCACCATAAATACAATCGCTTATCGTTGTGGAACTTCCCGCTCAACAGCTCCAAGCAACAACGGCTCACGGTAGGTCAGGCCATAAGGACGCATGGCACGCGTATCATCAAAGCCACCTAAAAGCATCGTCAGTTCGTGGGCTTTGCTCAGAGGGCTCTGGCTTCAGCGGCTTTAGAGATCAGACCCTGTGAAAAGCTGAGGCCCTATACTATAATGATATACGACAATATACTATATCACACTGTAATATACTGCAATAAATACTATAATATACTTTACTACGCTATGATACTCGCAAAAACAGTCAAACCATGCGACGCTGAGTTTACAAGGTTTGGGGATCCTCGTTGCGTCGAGGCTAAGAGGTCGTCCGAGGCTTCCTGCACAAGACCATGTTCATCGAAACTGACATTGGGACCAAGAATCAGAGTAGTATTTCAAGTACATCAGAGGGCCTATTGGGAATTCTGCATGATGACATGGTCATTGCTCTTCTGAAGATTGTCGGCTCCCTCTTGCTGGGCTGTATGGTTCTCAGGCAGCAGCAGGCAACTCTGATAGTCACACGGGCATTCTCAAGCAAACGCTCACCATGCAAGCCTGCAATCCCGTCCTGAGGACACCCGAAAGATCCCGAAAGGACGCATGAGTTCAACAGACGCTGGAAAGCTGTTCCTCACATCACACGTCAAATCCTCGTTGGTAAACCGTCAGAAAGACATCCTCTAAAAGCAACCCAGAGCCAAGCCATGTTCCTTATTCGCTCCGCTAGCGCTTTTGGCAGCTCCACGTCGAACGTGAAAATAAACGCTATCGACAGCGGCAGCGGTTACCACAACTACATCTGACATCTACATCACCACGGTTATGTATCATCATGCTGCAACTTTTTCCGCAGCCCATCGAGGCCCTCAGCAAGAGCCATGGGAAGCAGTGGTCCAGAGCGCGCCGCAAGTTCCTGCACCTGTGCTGCTGATTGGGGAAGGGCCCTTCGGCGGATGGTTAGGGTCTCTTTGGGGATCATCGAGGCGCTAGTTGACAATGCGGCAGGACATGACAAGAGGCCCTGGAGTATTGATACTTGGTGCAGGGGGGAACTTCTTGCTTTCATTTGTTTGTGTGACTGTGATTTTTGCAGTGTAGTGATGGCGGAGTGGAGTGGTGGCGGCAGCTGCAATAGTGGTGCGGTGGCGGCAGTGGCAGCGGTGGGGGTGGCGGCCACAGCGGCGGTGGTGGCAATCGTTGCTGATGAATGGAGCACTAGGTCACTAGGTAGGCAGGGATCAAAACCTTTATTGAATTTTTTCACGGTATAGAATTTGCTTATCGTAGCTTACGAAACCCATGGATAACCTTACCTTTTTCAGGGAACCAGCTTACGGCTTTTGCAGTGGAAGCGCGTGAATACCAACAATGCGTTCTCGTTTCCAAGCTGTGTGAATTTTGGACAGGTTCCTGAGGTCTAATCAAAGGAGTACTGGATTCTACATTTAAGAGTCTTAAGAGGATCTAACTAGGAGTAGTTCAAAAAAGGAAAAGTTCAGACCCCGGAAACAAGAGCTCATGGCGCTTACGGCGCAACAAGTGCCTGTATTCTCCATACGGTAGCTTACCAACCCCACATTTTTGCTTCCTGCAACGTCCATACAGGAGCGTCCCCCGCCTGTTGGTGCAGCTGCTCGTAAGCTCCGCGCGAAGCTTGTGGGCCACAAACAGCTGGCCAGGCTTTGCTGTCCTGCAGGGCTGTGTCACGCGTTCCAAGAAGATCCCGTAAGCCGATCTGCTCCAAGATCCCAAGCTGCTCGGCATAGAGCGCCCGCGGTAGGATGTGTGCCTCAAACCGACTCCACAAGAACTGCGGGTGCTCAGAAAGGGTCGACACACTGCGCCGCAGCCCTTGCGTTAAGAAGCGGAGCCTGGCATCCACATCCTGGGGACCACCTGCCCGCAGAGCGGGGACGTCAGAGGCCAAGGCTTTGGGCTCCGCACCCCAGCGTCGGAATGTGTCCACGACGTCAGCCGGGAAGTTCGGCCACCTGTGCAACCTCTTCCGGCGTGCGAGATCGCTGGATGTTGCAGGTTCCACGAGCAGGGGCCAAAAAGTGGCCTGCTGCAGACACAGCAGCCAAGGAATGAACCAATGGACGCTGCGGCCCATGGCACTTCAAGACCCAAACCCCACCACTCCAAATGCCAGCAAAGCTTGGGGATGATCGGGAATCATAGAAGCCGGTTGGAGGTCTCTTTTTTCGGCTTGGTTTGGGGATGTGTTAGAGTATAATCTGCAATCCAGGGCAATAATGCTGGTGCAACTCCACAAGCACCTGCCCAAGCGGCACAGGTCACAATCGATTGGAGCCAAAATGAGCCAACCGCGCATCACCTAGCACCGGTTGTGTTGTGTCTGGTAGCTGGTATCTTCATTCTCCGTCCTGTTCACGTAGCTTAGCGCAATGACGTGAAAACCCTCCTCAACATGCTACCTCACTGGAGAGCTGTTCATGTGAAGCCAAGACCTTGGATCCTTGCCTCCTGAGTGCCACAGAAGCAGACCGTCTCAATTCTTGCGTGTGGCGTGTCTTGCTTTCACTAAAACTGGGATGCGCGGTCTTAGCTAGCAGCTTACATATTGCAAGTCCTGTGTGCAGAGTTAGCGCAGGTCCGAGGGCTTGCCAAGCACGAGCCTTAACCGCACTATCCGCTCATCACGTACGCTTTCCCAATACTTTGCAGTACTGCGCTATGCGCGCCTGACTAAACAATTTGGCTATTTTCTTGTAATGACCCATGGCCTAGATGCTCAAAGGGACCCAGACCGCTTGTAACAGCGCGGCCTCTAGAATGCTAAGTACCTCGAGCTACAGTGTTACATCGATCCGATTTCACGGCGGCATAAAACCATGCACTGAGAAAGTTTGGGTAATCGTATGGCGATCCTTGTGTTTGAATCTTTGTAGTTCCGGGAAAGATGCTTCCAATCCGTTCCTTCCAGCCTGTACGTAATTCGGACATAATCCTATCCTGAACCTAAAAGCCCCAAAACCTACCTTCCCTCAAACTGACATGGGCCCCCCCAAAGGGTTTAGGGGTTTAGGGCTTAGGGTTTATAGCGTTCAGGGTTTGCAGAGCTTTGCTCAGTTCTCGGCTCAAGAAGGCTAACGAAGACCACCCGCCGCTGCGCACCACCTTGAAGGCCCGGCATCTCCGAAGGATGCTGGGGTTTGCTTACTGGTTCTTAGTAGGGACTAATTAGGGGAATTGAGTGTATAGGGGATTATACAGGGATTGTAGGGGAATCGAGTGTATAGGAGATTATATAGGGATTGTGATCCCTTATTCCCTACTAAGATTGTAAGTTTAGGGTTCGGGTGCCGAGCGCTCCAGAGAATTGGGCTTGTCGTTTTCTTGCCTGATTGGAACGCATGCAAGGAAACGACACGTGTGCAAATCTGGTCCCGGCAAGAACTCATTAATAGGCGATGAGGGCCTCATGAGGCTGAGCTGAAGATGATGGCGTCATGCGGATCAATATGAGCTATGGTCTAAACTCCTAGTATCCCCCTTTAAAACCCCTATAGTAGTCCCCTATATATTCCCCCTTTAAGGAGTTTAGACTATAGCTCATATGCAACCTCAAGCTGGCGGGTGGTCTACGCATTCTGCGCTCATGCTTTCCTTAGCCAGACGCCGTAGACACCCTCAGAATCCTCAAGCGCTATCTGAAAGACCTCCTGGGCTCCCTAGCTTTTACAATAGGATCCGGAAGTCCGAAAGCTTACGCAGGACACGAAGAACGGCTGCCTTTTCAAAAGGTATGGGTCATGGGACTTCACCTCAATTTGAGGGAGGGAAAACCATCATCCCAGGTATAGTTTGGAAAGACCTCCCACCTGAACAGTGCACAATTCCATAGTGGCCTGCCAATAGATCTTCACACTACAGGAGCTGACATGTGAAAATCTGCCTGTGAAACCCACCTAAGCCTGTAGCTTCAAGTGGTGGAGTGGCGAAACGTGCATCTAGGACCATCCCTGCTAGAGTGGCCTAGCATGAAGAAGCAGGTCTCTCTTGACCCTACATCCTGAACTGTTGCAGCATGAAAGAAAGCAATTCATTCTCCGATCTCCCATTATATGGAAAATGTGCCCCTCATGATTATTTGCTTCCGAAACCGGAGCCCACAAGCATCCTGCCCCAATGTCAACCGAATTGGTTCACGGCTTGCCCCGATAGCCTTGGGAACAATAATACGCTGCCGTTACAGTGATGTGGGGGCAAAGCCGCGCTTACTAATGTGGGACTTTTATAGGGGTACCATGATGAATGCCAGGCATCTGGGCATGCTCATGACTGGGTTCTTGCTCAATGTCAAGATTTCGCGTTTGAAATGTCAATTTTGGAGTCCTGAAGTGGTAAAGTACAAAAAATGTGATAAGACCAGAAGAGGAATTGAATAGCTTCAGCTGTCTAATTGGAGCTCAAGAGGTCCTAGTACTAGCAGTACTGGTACCACCAGACCAAGCACCCCCCCCCGAAGAAACCAAGAAATGGTCTAACCAGGGGTACCGTTCAAACAAGGTCCAGCCAAAATGTGCGTGGGGGCCATACCCCATACACTAAGGCCATTCCCACATTATCCCTGGGATTTAGCAAGCATCCCAGTCAAGCTCTTAACCATTGGTACTAGTTTCCCAAAATGCAAAGTAGACACCAAAATGCTGTACTCCTTATTGTAAGGAATGCCACAGAAGGTACGAATATTGGGAACCCCCCCATAGGTTCAAGCTTCTACACACAAAGGCCGAGAACCTGCCTGGAGGAGCAGCAGTTCAGCAGGACCCCAGCGGTGCGATGTCAGCGGCTGGAATTCTCCGTCAATCATCATCGTAGGATCCTCGGGGTTCCTGGGCTCAGAAAAGTAGGTTATAGAGGTTATATATGGGTCATATAGGGGATATAACATACCGTTTAGGGCTCAGGGATTAAGAGTTTAGGGTTTTGGGGTTTCGGAGAATTAGGGGTACTTTTTTGGGGGGTCTCCATAATATGGATTATAGTGTAAGGGTGTCTATATTGAGATCCCCCTACTTGGGTAAACTTCCAAGTCATGGTGCTCAGGAACAGACAAGCTTTCTTGAGCGGAAAATTGGAGGAGAAGCCGCGGCGTGATTGCTGTAGTTAACCGTTAACACCCTTTTCGTCTCGGGTTGCCTCTTTTCACTTCCACTGTTGTGGTCAGTCACCCAATTGCTAACCATTTCATTTCATCTGTGGCCATTGCATTGAAGAAAGAGCACACTCACATACATCAGCTCACTTCAGGATGCATATGGCGTTGCATGTTTTTGTGCCTGCATATCCAAAGCGGACCTGTTTCAAACGATCTTGCGCTAAGGTCTGCGCTACACACCAAAAGAAACGGGCTGTCTGAGGCTAACGGCTCTTTGCTAGATGTGCGCCGCACCTCCGCAGCCTCCACATGCACCCACTATAGTAGTTTCCATTTTCTTTTCCATTATCCCCATATAACCCTCATATATACCCTATTATACTCTAGTGGTTTCCATTTTACCAAGGAACTGCTCCTGTCTTGAGCTTAAAGCTTGCCCCATGAGTTTGACAACTACCGTTGCGAGTAGGATGTCCATCCCAAGCTTAGGCGCAGCGCAAGTGCTGCTAGGGCACAGGGGGATCGCATGCGAGTGGATGACGATACCAATCAGGATGGCGCGAACGTTGTCAAGCACCTCCGAGAGTCTCCAAGCATTTGGAATTATAGCAGGGAAGAAATGTTGACAAAAAACATTGCAATGGGAATATCCAGCCGGTGCTGATGAAGGCTCCCGCTCCACTTCCTCTCTTCGCCTCCCTCCTTCACTCCTTGCCGCCTTTTTTCCTTCCGCCACTGCATGCCAAACTCCAACCCAAGCAGAGCTCTACAACCACAACAAGCCCGAGAGCCAAAGACCTTCTGCCCATGAAGTTCTACGGTCCGTTGCATGTCTGTAAGAGTAGCTGTAGCTCCGCGATCCTTTCTGCAAAAGCTTGTGGGATCCTTGTCACACATAGCACTTGCACACATCTGGAAACATCAAAGCGCAACACTAAAGTGGAAGTTTCGCTTCTGCAGATCTTGTATAGGTAAGCCCTTTCGCGAAAACTTCCGCTTAAACATGCGACAATGGCATGCTACAAGACGTAATTGCCGAACACCATCAATGATTATTCCCTCACACTTCCGTTGCTTGCTATACCAGCAGTGTCCCACCCAACAGCCTCATGCCGTGTCTCTAACCGGGCGACCTGAACACCAAACAATGAGACCTGACCAACCACAAAATCCCCAAACTGACAGCGTCCCTACGCCCTCAACGGCCTGAAGCCTCAAACCTTCTTTACATCCGTGTAAGACTCATGGACCCCAATCCTGCTCTCCACCTTGTCTTCGGACGCCGCCTTTCGCGTAAACTTGCGCATCTGGCCCAAGCTGTCCTGCCCAAGCATTGGGTTGGGCACATGGAAGTTTCCCAAAATTGGGCGGTACATTTTGCAGTATTTGGAGGTGTGTATTGGGATTCCCCTATTCATGGAAACTGCCACCGTGTTGCTGGCCTCAATGAAAAGGATTAAGGTTTGCAGCGTTCAAGCACACGCCTTGTAGGTTCTTGGGCTTAGGTGTTCGGGCCGGACTGGTCCTAAACGCTGAACCCTAAACCCTAAATCCTAAACCCTAACCCAAAACCCCAAACCCTCACCACAGACCCTAGACATCCTAAACCCTAAACCAGGTGGGTTAAAGTTGGGAGATCAAGGTTGGAGACTCATGGGGCAGCAGCTCCCAAGGGGCTGGTAAAGGAAGAGGTACTACGCGCTTCGTAATGCTTTCAAGAAACCAAACTCATGACCTCTTCCAGCCACGGTACCTACTCTCAGACAATTGGCTGTTTTGGAAATGGATATGCGCATTCATCATTCACCCCCTCCCCCAACAACAAGCGCCCCATCTATATGAGACGCACGGGGCAAATCAGACGTTGTCGCACTTGGCATCGAACTCGACATGGCTAGACTGGGGCAACCGAAAGTTGTACAAGCCTAATTGCCTGAAGTAGACCCTGACCCGTTTATGGTTGTAGGGTTCGTATCCTCAAAAAAACATTAAGCTAGACAAAAGCTCAGTGACGGCCACGGCTCATTTAGGCTTTTGGACTTGCAATGGAACAATCTCCAAATGCTGAACGTCCGCTAAGCGCTGCAACAGGCTTGTCCGGCCTTGGGAATCAAATTTCCTTCGTGGAGTCCAATAGATTGTTATGCAAGCGGTCGGGGGACCCAAGATTCCATCACTAAACATGCCTGACTCTTGAAGCCCCGGCAGTCCCCTAAACTAAACCCTGAACCTACACTTCAGCACAAAGAGTCCAGCTCCATTACAACCTCCGCTCCGTCATCGCGCACCTTGGTTTGAGGCTTAGGGTGTGGGATTTGCTCCCTTGGATAGGTCATGAGGGCTGGTTGAAGCTAAGCAGCTAAGCCTGCAAATCATCCGGAGGTTCCAGGGCTGGGGGGGGGGGGAAGGGGATTGAAGACTTGAACTTACAGTCGTTCCTGCTTCTCGTGTATTAAGCTGGTCTGGATGAAAAGGGGTGCTTAAAAAGTGTAAGGTTCGAAATAGATTTTCACATTCGACAGAAAGCGTTCATACCTCCTGGTGACAGCTCAGCACATGTCATGTCAAGACCGTGAAACGAATCAGCAATTCTTTATAGCAGGGAAGCGGCAAGTGAAGCTCTAAACCCGTATGCCACCACCATCCACGAAAGGCATTGGCTTTTTGCGCACGCACAGGCAGGGGACCAATCAGAGAGCCCGTGCACAGATGACACACGAAACAATGATCCCTCTCAACTGAAACACAAAATATCCTGTCACTGTTTTTCACACGGGAGCTCAGCGCAGAGCGGTTCTGAGCTCTGCGCTTTCTCGGAAGCAATCGTTTCTCAAACAACTTGCAACGTCAGAAGTTTCTTAGGACCATGGCACAAGTTACTTTTAGGTCCCGGAATGGAAGTCCACAACCTGGAGATGCCCCCATTTTGGGCAGGCTATGCATGCCCAGCCGAGGCACCTCTGGCTTGGGAAGTGCCTTCTTGTTCACTTTGCCTGTGGGCAGCCGCGGTACCTGACAGCTCAAGATGCTTAGCATGTTTTCGCTTGGGGCATTTCCGGGCTTGGGGAAGTGCACGTTGGGGGACGGTGCCAGAGCTCAAGCGCATCGCAAATCCTGACAGCCTTCAGCTAGCCTTTCCCACCTCAGAAATCTCAGTGGAAAGCCGAGACTAGGCGCCAAGATTGAAAGGTTCTAGTCATCCTACATTACACCTCGACATGTAACTTGTATGCACCAGACAACATAGCTAACTTCCTGTGCTGGGCCATGCGAAGTTGCCTGAGGGGTCAAAAACACGCTGCATCAATACCTTATAAACCCCAGCTATACCTTGATCGCCAGTGCATGGCGCACGTATGCTTGGAAAAGATTTGTCACAAAATGGTGTGTCGCAAGCGGCGACCCCAGCAGTTGTTGATTCTCAGCCTCTTCGTCTCTTGTCACCCTCATGCAATCCCTCCATTTAAGCCTGAACCCTCTATGTACGCAGAGGTAGCACGAGCGAGCTCGTTATGCCATCCCAGAGAAGCATTCTTCACAGTTGTGTTTTTCCATGCGTCTTGACACCCTTGAGGGTTGAGGACTTCTGGCTGAGGACCTATGTATCTGGAAGCTGATGCCTTGGCATCTGCCTTGCCAGCTGCCACCCAAACCTCAACCCAAGCTTGAAGCATCAGAGTCACTAGGTTGGAAAGAGCAAGCCGCCACAAGGAACAACAACTTTTCATCTCTACCCTTGCAGCACTAATCAACCAACAACGCAAAGATCAAGGTCCTACAAACAGTGGGCGGCCCCCGATGTGCACCCAAAATGTGAGCTTTCCTTGCTCAGTAATGATGCTGGGAAGAATTTTATGATCTTGGACTAAACTCCCCAACTGCCTCCTCCAGGCCCTGGAAGATGTGTGGGACCATGTAGGAGACTAAGTGTTCCTGCTGCTCGGATTTAGGCACGCGCATCGCACTCAAGCTGCTAGGATTTAAGTATTGGGTTCAGGGTTGAATCTTAGGACTTCGTGTTTAGGTGTTGTGGAAGCAGGACATGTCATGGTGACTATGTGTTTTTGTTAGGGTTTTAGAAGCGGATTGTTTGGGAAGAGGTCGTGGCCCATTGGGGTAATATTAGGGGTATATATTGGGCTTATACGGGGAAAATGGAAAATGGAATGGAAAATAAAATGGTAATTGTTATCTTCTATAGGGGTTATATTCGGGTTATATGGGGATACTGGAAAATAAAATGGAAACTACTACTTGGGGTTTAGGGTTTATGGGTCGCATCCTTGAATCAGTCCACAACTGGTGGCTTCACAAACAAGGGGTCCTTGTGCGCTCAAGGCTCCGAATACAGGGGCTGCATGGGGCCGCCTATACGGCGGACCCCATACGCAGAAACACTGAAACCGTGGCCCCTAACACCCATCAAGTTCCCAGAGGGCACTGAAAACCCTAAACCCTAAACAGGGCACTTAAAACGAAACAGGCACCTTAAACCCTAAACCCTAAACAGGGCACTTAAAACGAAACAGGCAAGCTTTTCCCACTGGAGACCACAGCGCCCCTTTCCAAACCTGAAGGAGGTTATGCCTGTTCACGTCCAGGATTCCATATGAGCCATAGTCTAAACTCCTGGCATCCCCCTTTTTAACCCCGATAATGCTCCACTATATGCTCCCCAACATAGCCCCATTTGAAGGAGTTTAGACCCTAAACCCTAAACCCTATATAATCTCCGTTATATCCCCTTTCAGAAGTTTAGCCCCTATAAAGCCTAAACCCTACATTATAGTCCCCTATACAACCCCCTTTAAAGCGTTTAGACTATAACCCACATATTCCATGAGGTTCATCTTGAGAATTAACTCAAACTCCTGTGAACCCTCGACCCTGACATTTGACGGTTTCCCGACATAATGAGGGGTCCATGTTGGGGGGGGGCCCTATAACAAGGACTGCAATATTTTGGGGTCTATACTGGGCCCCTAAACCCTAAACCCGGGAAACTACAGCTTGTACTAGGTTAGTCCTTGCAAAAGTCGCGAAGGTTGGCAGGCACTGCAGGATGGACGTAAGCCACCAGCTTGTCCTTCGACAGATATTTGGGGGTTTCCCAAAGTTAGGGGTACCATTTTGGGGGTCCCTATAATGAGGACTATAGTATTTGGGGGTCTATATTGGTTCCCCTTATTTTGGGAAACTACCATTTCTATATAGGTGAAACCCACCCAGTAATTGCGACTAGAAGGAATTAGAATGATTATACTAAGGGCCACTTATACTCGCCATACTGGTTCCCTATAAACCCCCTATATAACCCCCTTTATGGAATCTAGACTACGGCCCACATGATGTGGGTTTTGGACTTGGTGCAGGCGCAGACGTTTGGGTGTGACGATAAAGGATTTGGGCTCTGGCCGGAGGACATCCTGTCACGGCAAGCTACTGTACGAGGTGGATGGGGTTGCAATCACCACTTAAGCCCCCCTTGGAATTTAAAAATCATTCAGCTGAGTTTTGTCAGCATGCAAACCACTTGTCATCTCTTACCTGGACGGCTTCCCTGAACTCAAACAACCTGAAAAGTAGAGCTTTCCCCGATCACTTAGGGCTTCCCCACAAGCCTTACACTGAACTCTCCTCGAAAACGGTGACCACTGCAAGTTTCACGGCAGGGTGGGCGGCTAATGTGCCTTCCACCTGACAGCCATGTCTTCGAATGCTTTAACTTACAAGGAGGAAGCGCTCTTTTTGACGTCATTTTAGGGGCAATACAAGTCCATTCGTCGGGCTTTTGAATTGCCGCTTGTGCTTTTCGCCCCTAACAAACTCCGCTTGTGATGTGTTCAATCCTGACTTGTCCCTTTCCTGGGCTTCAGTTCGGTTTTGAAGGAGCCTCCGTGTCCCCGGGTTGATCCTGATCCTCAGCCTAAGAAATTAGGATGGGCATGTTGGGAACATGCTCTCGTTGCAACAGTATTCCACTACGTACCTGCTTCAAGAGGATTTTGCGCTAGTTCACTTGTGGGTTCAGTTCATGCGTAATTAGGATTGCTTATGTTGATTTTAATTGGGGGCGTGTACTGTAGCCCCATTCAGAGCTATATACCCTTGAAGGCTCAGGTAGAGGTTCATGGTTGGTCCGTTGAATGTTTCGGAGGTTCGTTTCGCTCGTTTCGAAGCCACAATTGTCTTCATAGGCCCCCGAAATTTCACAAGCACTTCCTTCTGCCCAACCATACCGACATGTGGCTTCCACAAGCTAGTTGCGCCAGTATAGAGGCAATCTTCTTTTGCGTCATGTTTGCATTTGGCGTGCGCCGTTCACGCTCTCTCTCGTTTTGCGCAAATTCCACCGACCTGCGACGACCCGGTTGCTTCGGGCTGCTTGAGGTCGCCAGGACAAACTGGATGAAGTATTGTATGCAGCTTTCGCCGTCAGTCATTTTTGACGTGCCAGAAACTGGCTACACGAACTCCGCGCATGCTCTTTGACGGCGACTGTTTTCCTGTACCAGTACCAGTCGAAGCACAACGGCAACGACTTTTCCTCCTCGCACTGAAAAAAACTTCCGCTGCGGCTTCTTGTAAATTGGGTGGCCCTAACAATAACCCTTTGCCCCTAACTACAAATCACCAGCTGCCCCCCGCCCATAAAGTAGTCCCAATACAGTGTGATGCAGGGGGGGAAGATCCATCCTGGGATTTTAAAAGGAGGTGGCGACTAGCTGCAAAACCACCGCCTCGCCCAGCTCGATCCGTGCGCCTCGGACCTGTTTCAGTCTCCCCTAGACCCTATAGTTCCCCCTTAAGTAGATAGAATAGGGTACATTATAATAAGATCCCCATATACCCCATATTCGATCTACTCAAGGGGGACTATAAACCCTAAGGCCCTAAGGGTTCAAGGCTTGGATGTTGATCGAGGTAGTCTGTATGTACAGGCTATCGTTTACTTGGCTGGCCCTTGGAGCCCTTTGAAAAATATTGGTACATAGGACCCGTACTTATGAAACCGATAAGGGAAAACACTTCAATATCCCAAAGGCCAACGCAGCCTAGGTCTCTGGGATAAGAATTAGTGCTCAGAGTCTGCGTTTCCTGAGGGCCTGAGTTTCCAGGATTCAAGAATTTCTGCATACCTTGGGTGGCTGTGCTTGGTGGGGCAAGAAGGTCAAATTCATTGCAACTAGACTTACCATCAAGCGTGCTTGCCACTGACATTCAACCAAAAACCTTAAGCACCTTTGAAACCCCTATATAATCTAAAAAAAAACGCTATAATCTTTAATATAGTAGTTTCCATCGTCTTTTTCCATTATCTATCTGCATAACCCTGTACTACCCTAAGCTCTGATCCATGTCCAGCTGAGAAGGCAGGAGCTTCAACGACCCGCCAACACTTAAGACTCATATAGGTACCTGTTGGGATAATATAATGGTTTTATTTGAGGGTAATTTTGGGGTTATATTAGGGTAAGAGTGGGCTAATAGTAGGGCTATCCTAGGGTAATGTCAGGGTTATTTTAGGGTAATATTGGGGTTATATTGGGATACTATTGGGGTTATATTAAGGCAATATTGGGGTTATAAGTTATATTGCCCTGTACCCAAGTAAGTTGATTTAAGGGTTTGACATACACATGCAACATCATACTTCACCTTCATAGCATCGGCGATCGAGGGATTTGTAGTTTCATCCCTGTGCTGAAAAATGGCGCCTGCAAGCTGGTACCCAAGAATCTGAAGCATGTGGGGGGTTTCCCAATCGTAGGGGTGCTTTCTTGTGGGTCCCTATAATAAGGACTAGTATACTGGGGTCTATATTGCAGTACCCTAATTTTGGGAAACTACCATGCCTCAATTCTGAGGGAGCGCGCGTAATCTTAGGCAGAGTGGGTTCCCTCGCTACGCCACATTTCAAGGTTGAGGCTGGGGAAGGCTGAGGGTGCTTGGGGATGCAACTATAGTACATTCGGGTATATATTGGGCTAATGGAAAAGAAAATGGAAACCACTATAGTATATTAGGGTATATATTGGGCTAATGGAAAAGAAAATGGAAACTACTATAGTATATTAGGGTATATATTGGGCTAATGGAAAAGAAAATAGAAACTACTATAGTACACTAGGGTATATATTGGGCTAATGGAAAAGAAAATGGAAACTACTACAGTATATTAGGTTATATATTGGGAGAGCACGGGGCCCGTTGAGCTGCTTTAGGCATGGAATTCGAGCGTTCAGATTTTTTTGGGCTGAAGCGTCTGAGCTGTACGTCAAGCAGTCAGCGATGTTATGCAGCAGACCTGGTTTGCAAACTGTGAGAGCCATAGTCTAACCTCCTAGTCCTAGTAGTATCCCCCTTAGCAACCCCATAGTAGTCCGCTATATAATCCCTCGTAGCCCCTGTAAGGAGTCTAGATGTTGGCTCATGTAGCCGTTTCCAGGAAATACCAGGCATATGCTGATGGAGGCTTCTGGGTCCCACTCACAGCTTCTGCATAGGCCATTTGGATAAGTACCCATGTTGTTGAAAGCCAATGGCCAAGCAGATTCACACACCTAGCTTCGAAGCAGGCTGACTAGGAAACGCTAATTTCGGAAGTATGTGACTTCACTGGGTTGGCCCCTAAAACCCTTTGAACAATTTTAGTATATAGGGTCCCTTATTAAAGCCATTAGGGAAAATATTAAGTATCCCAGGGGCCTACCCAGTTCAATTCAAGGGGCTGGGGGGCCGCCCTCCGAATCCAAAAATTCCATTTAGCGACCAAAACCAAGTCTCGTAGTTGTAGCAAGGTCACTTCTAAATCACTGCCCGCGATATCGCTGCTGTTTCGCATCAAGGCCCAAGCCCTGAACCCAAATACGCCCTGCGCCCAAGCCCCCTTAGTTCCCACTGCGCAGATGAACTATGAGAAAGCCTATCGCATCCATCAAGTTGCGCGCTTATCCCAAACAGGAAACAGCAGCATTTTTGGCGGTTTGAGGTTCTACTGCAATCCTAAACCATATACCAATGCCGCTCCCGCAGAATGCTACAAGTTTCTTACCGCTTCCTGACCATTGCGTTCACCGATTCTTCTCTTGTCTTTTCCGGGAGATTCCGCCACTTCCCAACAGCTTTCACCTTGGGGTTATGTCCAGCTTTGACATTGATAGTGTAACATTTGACATTGGCAGTGCCCTTTCCCAGGTCGACCATCGTACAGGGCATGATGCCACAATGGTACCTGGAATCGTGTGCCAAAGCCACAGTACCCACTCTCTCATGCGCATCAGACTTCACCTTCACTCTCACTAAAGCATTCGTAGACATGCCTAAAGAACTTAGAAGCGTCGGTGCCATGTTCAAAGACGGACCGATGTCGAATGGAGAACATGCTTGCGGCCGTTGAGGCTTCTCCCTATGAACTATAAGAGTACTTATCATTCAGCCTTACATACTCCTTAAACCCTAAACCCTAAGTAGCTTCCTTTCGTTTCCATTATCCAAGAATAACCCCAATGTTGCCCCAATAGTATAACCCCTCTTCTATACTAATCCGCAGGAGCTTTTAGCAGCCAGCCTTGACCATGGAGTCCCTGCGTCCGACCAACTTTAGCTTGCCCGTGTTGGTCCAATGCGCTAGATCCTGAGCTCGCTTGAGCTCACTTGGGCTTGGGGCTTCAGATTTGTTAAACATCGTTTCCGTAAGGGTTAGCTTGGGTTCTTGGCGGCTTTACACATGTGTTTTACGCAGGACAATACTGGGTGTACCCGAGCTATGATTTCCACCATCAGCGCAATGAAAGGAGGACCGTAAATGCTTTTACACACAAAGTTGTGAAAGACAAACTCCACCCTGACCGATCCACTTCGTTTAGGGCCCTTTGAACTGTTCAGAGTATTCGGGCCACACGCTGACTAAAAAAGGATGCCGTGTGTAGACGTCAAGACAGTCTTGCTCTTACTATTATAGTTCCTTGTCGTCTGCAGTAAAGGTCAGCAGACGATGCACACACGTTATCTAATCCAGGTCTATTTATAGGAGGGACTGGAGTTTGACTTGAGTTCATGTCGGAGCTTCAACTTTTGCTTTGCGGGCTTGGGGGCCAGGGTTTGGAATCTGGGGTTGCATTTCCATTTATTGTGGTTGGGGAGGAATTATGCCAGAGCGATTGAGCTCTGAAGGATAACTTCTGGCTGTACTGCTTCTGCTGATGCTGACGCCTCCTGCTGCTTCTACAACCAACGGGTACTCTGTTCCTGATGTTACTGCGCTAACGTTATGCAGCTATGCCTGATGTGCTTCTTCAGCAGCTTGTTTTGTAGCTGCAGCCCGCAGCCGTCGCTTGGCAACAACAGCGTGAGCAGTTCAAGGCTCTTGCCTCCAGCTAACCAAGAATCATCCCTCTTGAAAATCCCAAGATTGGGTTCTCATTATTTAATGGGGGTCTATTGGGATAATGGAAAAGAAAATGGAAACTACAGGGATTATAGGTAGTATATAGGGGTCTTCTAGGGACTATTACTATGCCCGCACCCCTTCAAACCCCAAAAAAGTCTCAGCTGAGCGTCTCCAGTGCGTACGGCTCTGCGACCATCTAAAGCTTTGCAGATGGGAAGGAAAGTCTCGGCTGTCTTCTCTGGTAGGTTCCTTGGGCTGTCTGGTGCCCTGCATGGAAAGCAAACAGATCAATGTAGAAAATTCA